GTACTTGGTGAATCTGTCAATGATGACGAAAATGTGCCTCTTACCACTCTTGCTGGTCACTAGGGTGTCCATGAAATCCATGGAAACACTCAATCCTGGACCATCAGGAATGGGTAAAGGCTTCAATAACCCAAGCGGTGCTTGAGTTCGCGGCTTGTCCCGCTGACAGACCTGACAGGTCTCAACATACTTCTTTGCGTCATCTAACATTTTGGGCCACCAAAATCGCTGTACTAAGTTTGCACTTGTCTTCTTGTAGCCAAAGTGCCCAGTTGCGTCATGACATTCTCCTAAAAATAAACTACGCAACTGTTCACTAGATGGAACTACCAATCTCTTTACTCCGGCCGTATCAAGATAGATTAGCCCATCCACCATCACAAACTCACTTTCTGTGGCCTTGTCTTTTCCCTGAAGCTTGCGGATGATGTCCATCATGACAGGGTCTTCCTGATAGGCTCCCACCAATGATTGAGTTACTTCATTAGATACACCAAAGATAGAAACTAGTGCACCTAAGTAGTCTGCTCTACGGGATAGCGCATCTGCAACCTTGTTGTACTCTCCCTTCGGGTACTCTAGCTTGAAGTCATATTGGTCTATGACCTCAATCCATCGCTTGAGTGCATCAGAAAGAGCCGGTTGAGTCTTGATCCATTTGAGGGTCTGATGATCAGTCCTCAGATAGAAGAACCTTCCCAAAAGGAAGTGTCTCCAATGGGCAAGTGCCTTGTAGAGAGCATAGAGTTCCCTTTCGTAGGTGGACTTAGCCAACTTCTTTGATGGCATCTTCTTACTCATGTACTCAATTGGTCACAACTTTTTCCCATCCTGCTGAGCCAGCACTGCGCCAATGCCGTATTGGCTTGTGTTAGTGGTCACTATGAATGGCTTTTGCGGATCGGGAACCATGAGAACTTCATGATTCATGAGTGCATGCTTCAATCTCTTGAAAGCACCTTCGCACTCATCACTCCAGTCCCACGGGGTGTCAAGTCGAGTTAGATCAGTCAAAGGAGAGGCGACTGTGGAATAGTTCTTTACGAAGTTCCTATAGTAGCCGCACATTCCTAAGAATGATCTGACCTGAGTGACAGTCTGAGGTCGTGGCCAGTCTCGAATACTAGCCACCTTCACATCTTCCGGCCTAATCCCCTCCGCGGATACTTCATGACCCAAGTATAGTATCTTAGTGCGACCGAATTCGCACT